GTTGTACATTATAATCAAAATATTTTATTAATACACGATTTTGTCGTAGAATCCATCGTATACGTATTTGAAATGTAAAAAATAATATTGCACACCTGTGTAAAATAAGACAAAAAACAAAGATGAACATTTGCATCATTCACATAACAAACACCAGAAGCAAATACCGATACACAGTGAAAACCAAAACCAAAACACTTACACGAGATCACGAAATATCATAATATAGAATAGTTTGGGCAATTTACGAACAAAATCAATTATTTCAGACATTTTAAACATTTTTTGTTTTTGTTTTTATAACTTGAAAATTAAAGCAACGATGATTGATTGCTTGAAAAAACAAATTCGGGAAAATCATCACCAAAATTAACCCGAAATAAAATTTAGAGCAAAATCAATAATTTTTTAAATGAAAAACATTTTCCAAATCTATCATCATCATCATTATCAATTTGGAATTAGGAATAAGAAGAAGAAGAAAAGATTTTGTTTTTTCTTCGCAAATAATCAATAATGTTTTTCTCTTTAATTAGGAAAAGAAACATAATCTCTTTATTCTCTCTCTCTCTCTATCTTCATTATTTATTTTATCCATTCGATCAATGATCTCTCGGCATCATTATCATCATCCAGAAAAATAAACTTGCAAAGCTAAGCAAAAAAAACTCTGAAAATGGAAAGTGAAATTTTTTTTGATGGTCAAATTTCGAAAACACATTTTTCAATGAATCTTTTTTGTGTTTTGTTTGAAAAAATCAAAAAACAAAAATCAAGAAATTAGATTTTTTAGGGGGAAGAAAAGTATTGGGGGAAGGATCCGAAAAAAAATATCTTTTCAGCGATGATATTCGATAAAGATTATGTCGACCTTGTAGCCTTGTTGTTTGTTTGTTTGTTTGTTTGTAGATTTGTATCATGGCTTTGAATCTTACTTGATTAACATTACTTTTACAGCAACAAAAAAAAAACAACAAAACTAAACGCAAAGAAACTAAAATTAAGAGTATCCTGATTTTTGTTGTTTTGTTGTTGTTGTTCATCATTTAAAAATATCTGTGTCTGTGTTCCAAATGAATCTTTTTTTCAACGTAAATATTGATAATGATAATCAATTTTTTCTCGTTTTTCTAATGGACGTTACTTTGGACACGTTTTTACTCTAAATAATATTGTTGTCTTGACCACATTTCTCTCTCGGTTTGTCCAATGAAATTTCTCTCATTAAAAAAAAGTTATTGATGAAATGATAATTAGTTTTGTTTGTTGCTTAAAACATCGTATAATGATGGATATTTGATGAAACAAAACAAAATGAAAAAAATCCAATTTAACAAATCCAAAAGGTGATTGTCCTCAATCAATCGATTGAATCAAATCAATAATTATGTAATCCCCTCAAATTATATTCAAAATTTTGTTTTTGTTTTGTTTTGGATCCCAAAAAAACAACAAACTTTGGAGAAATTTGATTCTTTCTAATTTAGTTTTCAGGCATTGAAAATCCGAATGTTTTTTTTCTGTCGAAAAAACAACCAAATTCAATTTTTTTTATCATTGTAAACACACAAAGATTTGATGATTTTTGGACTGAAAACGATTGAAAAGAAAATCGTATCATCAAGTACTTTACCCAAACAAAAAATGATACCAGATTTTTTCTTCTTTTTGCTTCCAGATTCAAATGATAATATGATTTTGATTGAATTTTTCCTTTGATAAACATTTTCACTGAAAAATTTTTCAAATTTTGATAATTAATTAGAAAATGTTTTCGAAATTTTCCCAATCTATATTGATGGAAAAATTGCTCAATTTCATTCATTCATTCATTTAGTATGGCAAAAAATGACGAAATTTTTCATTTGAAAAAAAGTATTTTTTCCCAAAAAACAAAAACAAACGTAATGTGATAAAGAATGGAATCGAATGATTCGATACATCAACTACCAACTTTTGAACGTATTTTATGGTCTGATCAGACTTGCAAATCTTGTGATAATCAAATCAAGGGAGAGCGAGAGAGAGAGAGAGGTATTTCTTGATTATGAATCTTTGAATATCATTTCTCCCAAAATTTTCAGTTTTGTTTATTTGATTTTCTGGTCATAATCATCATCATCATTATCATCGTCATACACCACTAGCATGATAAAACAAACAAACAAACAACATTGGAAAAAAACTGCTGTTTGGAAAACAGAAAAACACTATTTAATCAAAGATTTATTCAGAAAAAATTTTTGTCATTCAATAAGTTTGTTGTTTTGTTGAAAATAAAACCTGATTACCTTCAAATAATTTTAGTTTTTTTTTGCTGCTTCTGATCTTCTTCATCCAATTTTTCTTCGTCCAATTTTTTACAAGAATTTTTCTTTTTGCAAACAAACAAAATGGGTAAGTGTTAATGGTTTCGTAACATGGTCAAATTGAAAATCCGAAAAAAAACATCGTTTTGATCATGAAATGATGATGATGATGAAATGTAGCTAAATTTGTTTGTTTTCATTTCATTTTTCATTTCATTCATTTTTTATAGAAATTAACAAATCTAATCTTGGCGATCTTTTGATCGAAGGTAAAACAAAACAAGTTTATTCATTTAAATCAACAACGGATGAAAAACATCATAATCATGTTTATGTATTGAGCAAGGATCGTATAACTGCAGGCGATGGTGTTAAATCACATCAATTAATTGGTAAATCAATACTTTCTACACAAACAAATTGTGCTATATTTGAATATTTAAATGCTATTGGTATACGAACACATTTTGTCGGAAGAGTTTCAGAATCAAATCCCGATTCAAAACGTTCATTCGTTGCTAAACGTTGTTCAATGATACCGATTGAATGGGTTTGTCGTCGTATTGCAACTGGTTCATTTTTAAAACGTCATCCACATGTACCAGAAGGTTATCGTTTTGCACCATTAAAATTGGAAACATTTTTCAAAGATGATGCTAATCATGATCCATTTTGGTCGGAAGAAACTCTTATTGGTGCTAAATTAAATATTGGTGGTATGATTATTACTGCTGAACATGTACAAGAAATGTATCGTATTACTAAATTAGTTTTTGAAGTTCTTGAACGTGGTAAGTAACATAATATATTTTCTTGGTTTTACCTGAGAAAAAATCATCATTACTATTCAATTTACAGCCTGGCAAACAGTAAATCATTCATTGATTGATATGAAAATTGAATTCGGTGTTTATGAAGAAAATGGTATCAAACAAATAATTGTTGCCGATGTTATTGATAATGATTCATGGCGTTTATGGCCAAATGGTGAAAAACGTTTAATGTTAGATAAACAAGTTTATCGTAATATGGATAATTCGAAAATTGATGATGAGGCATTGAATTTGGTAAAGGCAAATTTTGAAATAGTAGCTGAACGTACACAAAAATTATTCAATTCATTGATACCAGTCAGACCTGATATGTCAAAAATTGAAGGTGTTATTGCACCAACAGTTGCTATTGTTGTTGGTTCACCATCCGATAAAGAATATGCATTAAAAATTAAAGATACCCTTATTAATCGTTATAAAATCTATGTTGTTGATATTCATGTATCATCAGCACATAAATCAACCGAGAAAACATTAGAATTAGCTGCACAAATTCAACAATGGCCATCATGTAAAATTGTTGTTGCTGTTGCCGGTATGAGTAATGGTCTTGGACCAGTATTGGCCGGTAATCTTTCAATACCGGTAATTAGTACACCACCAACAACCGATGTATCAATATTACAAACAGATATTTGGTCATCATTACGTATACCATCCGGTATGAGTACTGCAACAGTAATTGGTGCTGATAATGTTGCTATAATGTGTGCACAAATTATCGGTACAAGTAATGCATTTGTTTGGTCTACGATTCGTACATATCAAACATATCAAATTGTTCGATTGATTCATTCAAGAATCTAAATTTTTCAGGAAAAAAATCGATTGAAATTCTTTCCAAACTTTTGTCTTCCCCCATCCAAATGACTGATAAATAAAACCAAAACCAAAACCAAAAAACATTTTTCTTTGTTGAATCTTCGTTTTTTTCAATGCCAAATTCTATATAATTGTCCTTGAAACATAAAAGAGATGCGTACCAGAGAAAAAGTTGACAGAGAAACATTGAGATGTTGTTCACATGAGTTTCACATTGTGTGATCCACATTTGATGTCAAAGGAAAATAACCACCACAGAAAAATCGATGTAAACAAAAACCAAAAGAAAAAAAGAATGTCAATGTTAAAATCATTAAAATTTTATCAAATAATTCGTCAAACAATACCGATACTTATATTTACATTTTGGTTATTAGTTTGTTTACGTTCATTTTTACCAATCATATGGATTGATAAAATTATTGTTCATTATGATGATGAACAACAACAACAACAACAACAAAATGGTCAAACTGATGATGATCAACTGAGATTACAACGAATGAAGGTATCTTCGATGTACCATTTTACCAAATAATGACGATAATGATAATTTTGTCTTTTTCCCAGGATTCAATGTTATCATTAACAATAATATTTATAATTTTTACATCAATAATATCAATAATCGGTATAATTGGTTTGATTTTGGATCGTATAACGCTAACAATAATGTATTCATTATACATTTTAATGACATTAATGTTTATTATCATACAGATTTGGAATGATCCATTTGTTTGGTTTGATAATAATGATGGCAATAATTTCCTTGATACATTAATATTTCTTTCCATATTGATCATTACAAATTTATCTATATTCCTGTATATTTTTCTATGGTATTGGCATCATCATTGTAATCATCATCATAGTCGACAACAACAATATTTATTATCAACAGCAATTCTGGATGAAAAATCATCAGCCATTCAGGATTGATTCCCGGAATTGTTTGGATTGACAGAAATCAAACGAAAATTACAAATTTTCCAAAATATCATAAGTTTATTTTTCCAAATCAAATATTTATATTTTTTTTCTTTAAAATTATAAAAGAAAGTAAAGGGTTAATAAATGAAATAAAATGTTAATTTTACAAATGAATCAATGGTGGGTTTGTTATGTTTTTTGTGTTTTGTTTCATGGATTTGTACTAACAATTTGATTAATCCAACCTAAAAATGATAATACTTTAACATAAACCCCAGGTACACCATTACGACCACAACCAAAACCCCATGATACTAAACCGGTTAATTCAAAATAATCATCATTCCAATTACAAACTAAACCAGAACCACCATCACCTTGACATGCATCATTACCACCATGGCCACCACCAGCACAAAAACTACTTGCTGGTAATAGAAATTGTTTTTCCGTAACAGAATTTATTTTCATTATACAATCTTGATCATTGACAATCGGTATTAATGCTTCACGTATACGAAGGGCAATTGGTCCAGCTAAAAAAAAAATCAAAGAACCAAAAATGTTAATTTCTGTAAACTCAGGATTCAAAAAAAAACCAATTACATTCATGTTGAAAACCATAACCAGTAACTGTACATAATTTATCCTGTATCGTACGATTTGTATTCCATGTTGGCAGACAAACTAAACATGTATTTGGATTCAATTCGATTGGTGATAATAATTTCATCAGGGCAATATCTAATTGTGTGGGGAAATAGAAAACAAAAATTTAAAAAAAAATTCAAGAATTCAAGAATCCGAAAATACCATTATCCAATGATTGTCCATTATGATTATGATGAACAAAAATTGTTTGTATTTTTTGCATTTGTCCAAAACGATTATTACGTGTTAAATCATATTCACCAGCACGAATAAAAATTGGTTCATTTTTTCTTAAATAATTTGTAACACAATGTGCTGCTGTTAATGCCCATTGTTTTCCAATTAATACACCACCACAAATATATTTATTTTGTTGATTTACTAATGCTATTTGCCAACACCATTCACCTGGATATGAATCACTACCACCAACAACACGTTGACTACGTTTTGATCCTTTTTTACCACATTGATGTGGTATGGATGTTGATTGTTGTTGTTGTTGTTGTGATGGAAGATCTATAATGAAAACAAAAATATTAAGCAAATTAAGTGTTTTTTTCTCAGAAAAATCAACAAACCTAGAATATTTTCATTATTTGATGATAATGATGGCTGTGACATTGGAATTGGTTGATGTGTTTTGATTATTGGTTTTATCATTGGCGGTGATGGAATTGAAACGGCTATTGGTTTATCATTCGATGATGATGATGATTGTAAGATTGGTGATTGTTGATTCGGTTGTACCATTGGTGGTGGTGGTGGCGGAGGTGGAATTTGCTGTTGTTGCTGGTGCTGCTGTTGTTGTTGAACCATTTTTGTATTAAGTAAAAATAATTCCAATTTTTCAATATCCGTATTTGAAGCACAACATATTTGTCCTTTTGAACATTTAAAATGTTTACTAATTGAATGACCACCTAAACAAGTGAATTTAAACATTGAATTTATACATTTCCCAGGGCAAACAACAAAATTATGTTCATTAATCAATGATGTCGATGATGATTGATCATCATTTGATGAATATGATGATGATGGTAAATTATCTGATGGACGAAAATGAACTTTATTATTATTATTCTGATTATTACCGGTATCGATGGTAATCGATGGTGGTTGTTGTTGATTATTATTTTTTCTTATTGAAAATGGTAATTGTATACGTGGTGGTGGTTGTGGATAATTTTGTAAACCAGATATAATTGGATTTTGTTGTTGTTGATTATGAAATGGTCTTGTATCACCATTATTATCTTGATCAATCGATTTACCACGTGCACAACAAATAGTACCTTGACCACAATCTAATGTTTTCAATACTAATTCGGATGGTTTTGTACACATTCCACTTAGAATAATCGGTAAACAAGTACCATCACATATTGAAATTATTAATGGTGGTGGTAATGATGATGATAATGGTAATGGTGTTGTATTATATTCACGATTTACACAACAATAACCATTTGAACAATATTGATTATGATCAATTTCATCACATAACATATGAAATAATGGTACAACACATGTTCCATCACATTGTGGTAATGATGATTGTGTTGTTGTCGTCGAGGTTGTCGAAGTCGTTGATGGTGTCATGATCGCAGACGATGGTGGTGTTGATGAATGAAATTCTGCACCAATATTTTTCGTTTGATTCATAGCAACTGTTTGTTGTACTAATTTAATAAAATTTTTTGTCATTGTATCTAATGTTGATTCAATTTCTAAACAACATTCTTCATTTGGATTCGTACAATATGAATCATGTAATGGACGCATACAAAATGTATTCTGTAATGATATACATTTTACTGGACATGGATTTGTTTTGATACTTGAATTTTGTTCCATATAATCATCTCTATTTGCATTTGATGGTTCTTGAGTCATTGCTGTCGATGTTTCTTGATTTTGATTGTTGAATCGATTTGCGGTTGTTAAATGATGATTATTCGATATAACGCTAAACATTTCGGTTATGGTTGTTGATGCTGATGTTGATGGTAAAAGTGGCTGTTCGGTTGATTCAAAATTATCAGCGTTTTCCATCGATGATGATGATGATGATGATGTTGGTAAATGGCCATAAATCTGATAATATTGACTATTCGATATACAACATCTTGATAATTGTCCACCACAAGATATATCTTCTAAAACATTATCACAAAATATTGATGTTATAGCATGAACACATTCACCTGGACATGTTGATGTACGATTCACTGTTGTTAATGTATTCCATAAATCTGAAAAATTGAACACAGAAAAAAAACAATTAATTAATCCATTTTTTACCTTGTTTAAACCCGAAAAACAATTAATATTTACCTGAAAAATATCCCGTTTCATTTGATTTTTCTTGATCAACAATTTGTTGTTGTTGTTGTTGTTGATATAGTCGATCATCATCATCATTCGATGATGATGATGATATTTCCGATTGACAATAAACATTTGATGATTTTTGTAGATAAAATATACTTAATATTATTAATGAAAATTTAAACAACATTTCTTCTTCAATGGTGGCTGAGGGTTATTTTTGTTGCCTAACAATAATGGAAAAATTATTTTTCTCAATATTCAAAAAACGAAAACGATAAACAAAATCATCCTATCATCATCATCATTGATGGGTTCACGTACCCGGTGAGGTTGTTCATCATCATCATCATCAGGTTATTCCATAACAATCCTCTCTCTGTGTTTGTGTGTGCAGTTGGTATTTTGATGGTTGAAGGGTATGGATGACCAACAACAAGTTGTTGTCCAGTCCAGTCTCTGTGTATGATACAACCTGATGATGGTCAATCGGTGGTGGTGGTAAATATCGAATGTTTTATTTATTCAGTTTTGCTGGTTGGTTGTTTGAATTGAAAATTTTGTCAATTGTAGTCGTCGTCGCTGTTATTTAAATGGATAAAAACTGGTTATGATCATTGTTGTCGAACGAACGAAAAACACAAAATTTCCATTTTTTGACCTCAGAATTGATGTCATCATCATATATTTGACAACCGCAAACAAAACAAATAATAATCATTGACCGTAACTTATCAAATTCAATAACCGAAAAAAAAGAATCATTCATCCATTTGATCTAGTTGCAGAATATTTTTTAAAATTGAAAATTTAAAAATTTTTTTAAAATTTTAAAAAATCTAAAAATTTTTGGAAATTCCAAAAATTCATCGCTAGATGGCGCACAGGATGGATATATATTTTCGCTTCTCTTTTGTTCCAAAAATGAATGAGTGAGCAGCAAAGCCATCAAACAACCGAACAAAGTGTGCTTGACAATCAGCTTTTTGACCCGCGCTCGCCCGGCTTAATAATCGTTCAGTGTTTTGGCTTTTTTGAAAGACAAAGATTGAAGCAAACAAACAAAAATACCGCTTAAAGATAATTTCATTTTGTGTGAATGGTGGTGGTAGTGGTTATCAATCAAATCAAAAAGAAAATAACACAAAAAAAAGTGTTGCTTGTTGGCGCTTTTGACAAACAAAACAGACACACACAGACATCAAATCTTTTGTTTGTTCGGTATTTTTGTCTTCGATTTTAGTTTCTTTTTAAAAAAAATTTTCATTTTCATCAAAAATCTTAAAGTGAAAAACCATTTGCGAAAAAATTTCAAACAGTATTTTTTTTTTCCTTTTTCAAACTTTGATTTTCATTACAAAAAATTATGGCCGATCCATCAACGAATAAAACAACATCGACGACGACAACAACAACGAATAAAAATGATATCGTTGAATCATCAACATCGAATGTAGAAATGAAACAATCATCATCATCATCATCATCGTTATCAAAAAATCAAAAAGATGATGAAGCAAGTAGTTCAATGATCGAACCGTAAGTATATCAATTGATCATTCGATTTTTATTCATTTTCTTCTTTGTTGTTTTGTGACAGTGATAAAGAATTATTAGCCGAAGCATTACAATCAATGCAACATGGTAAACGTCATATGATTGTTTCGGATTATCGTTCAGCTGTACCTTGTTTTGAAACTGCTTGTGAATTTCTTGGCCATTTATATGGTTTACGTGCATTAGAATGTGCTGAAGCATATTTAAATTATGGTATTGCATTATATGAATTATCACGTCTTGAAGAAGGTCTTGATGGTGGTATTGTTAATGTTGAAAGTAAGTTTTTTTTATCATTCAAGTAAAAATTTTATTTACAAAAAAACTAATTTTTTCAACAGAACAACCGGATAGTGGTGGTGATGATGATGACGATGACGACGATGATGATAATGATGAAAAAGATGGCGATGATGACGAACAAGAAGATGAAAATGCTGCTGCTGGTGATGAAAAAGAAAAAACTAAAGACGATGAACAAGGGGATGATGATGAAAAACAAATGGATATTGATCTAATGGCACAACAAAAACCATCAACATCTAAAGCATCATCAGCGATCGATGTTCCTGGAACTTCATCAGCTACAAATGGTGGTAATAAAAATGTCGATGGCGAAGAAGAAGAAGAAGAGGAAGAAGATAATGCTTCAAATATTGAAATTGCATATGAAGTATTAACAACAGCCAAAGATATTTATAGCCAACATTTGGATAATAGTGAAATAACATTAAATTATGCTGAAGCATTACAAAAACTAGGCGAAATCAGTATTGATTGGGAAAATCCAGATGGTGCTATTGGATTATTGAATGAATGTCTGGAACAACGACGTCGTGTATTACCGGCAGATGATCGTTTAGTTGCCGTTACTTATCATTATTTAGGTTTAGCATATTCATTTAAATTAGTACATTCAAATGATATGCCAACAACATATGAATGTGAAACATCAAATAATTGTTTTCAAAGTGCATTGGATGTTATAAAATTACGTATAGATAATCTTAAAAATAAAGATACAAGTAAAATGGATACATTTGAAAAAGCAACATTAGAAAGTGAAATACAACAATTAGAAAGTTTAATGCCTGAAATTCAATTAAAAATTGAAGATATGAAAGAACAAATACAAAGTGGTCGTAATATAATGGATCGTTTAGAAATGGTTGATAAAAAAGAACGTGAAAAAACTGAAGAATTTTCTAAATTACCTGAAAAACCAATTACCAATATTACACATTTGATTAAACGTAAAGTAAGTAAAAAGATTTTAAATTTTCTATAGAAAAACATTAACATTAAATTCATTTTTAGCGTGATGATATTGATGGTAACAATACTACTACTACTACTTCGAATGGAAATAACAAAGAAAATGGTACATCAAATTGTAGTAATAGTAATAATGATGTTCCAAGTAAAAAATTATGTTCATCATCATCATCATCATCAACGAATAATGATAATGTAGCTAACACATCTTTAGTATCATCAACAACCACCGAATCATCATCGACAGCCGCAACAGCAACCGAATTAACATCACCAAAAAATGGTGACAATAATTAAATTAATTTCATATCGTTTTTTCCCCATTACCTTACATTACATTCATTCATTCATTTACCTATTCCAAAACCCGTTTTAAACTTTAATAATAGTTTAAAAGTAATATGTTAGACACAAACGTAACAACAACGAATTTCACTTTATATCACTCACACAATCATTTTCATGTTCATTTTCTTTTTTTCTGGTTGGTTGGGGTATCGATGATTTTCTTCGAAAGACACATTTATATTACACACACATACAGAAACACAAACACAAAAAACCCAACCTAATATCATTCATTTTGTAGAAATTCAAGGTGTATTATTCTCGAATCAAGTTAATAATGAAAATTGAAAAAAAGAAAATAACATGTTCCATATTTCTTTAACTTTTTTTAAATATTATATACTCACTTTAATAAACACAGAAACAACACTTTGTTCATCCATTATTCCATTTGGAGATAAACGTTGTTGTTTGAAAATTTCATTTTTTTTTTTTTTTTTTGCAACAAATGCTGTAATGATAAAATGCAAAAACAACAAACATACACTTATACATTCTTAAATTGGAGATTGAAGAAATTGAAGAAATTGAATCTTGTTCAAAAAACATTGTCTTCATCGTTGTCCAACAACAACAACAACAAACCAAATAAATTTTTCATTGCTTGTCGTTTTGTAAGACAGATTTCCAAAATGTGACACACATGAAAAACAAAAACAAACATCGAACCAAACAGAAATGGATACCTTTCTTTTTTGATTTTCCTTTCTCCTTCTTTTCCCGATTTATTAGGTAGTATTTGTTCTGTAGTATTACATAACAACATTTTTTGAAACAAAAAAGAAGAATTGGGCTATAAATTGATTCGGTATTGGGAAAGAAAGAAATTGTCAATTTGTCAACAACAACAAGCGGAGAAAAATCAACAACAACAACAAAAAGGATGTCTATTCACATAAGACGTTCAAAAGTTTTGTTCGAATCCTGGAACATTTTTGTTTTTTCTCTTCAAATTAATTTCCAATTTTTTCCAACTTTTCATTTGCTTTTCATTAAAAAAAAACAGAAGAAATCATTTAATAAATTTGACTTTTGATTTTTTGTTTTCCAAGTAAATCCAAATTTGATTGGGTGACCATAAGTGATAAAACAACGTTCGTTTCTTTTGTCTGTCTGTTTTTGGTTGATAAACAAAAAATGTTGATCGTAATGGTTGGGTTTGGTTTGTCAAGCAGGATATACACCATTCTTATCTCATCCTATTCATTCAAGCAGAATGTGTCGTTTTTTTGGAAATGAAAACAACAATTAAAAATCATATAAATAGAACGAAGGGTTAGAATTATTGAATATATTGCATATTTGAATTCATTTTTGATTGATCAAACCGAATTTTTTTGAAAAAAAACCAACCATGAAACAATTCAATATAATTTTGATTATTGGTATCGTATTGATGATCGTTACTACTGAATTTGTAAATTGTGGACTATTTAATAGACGATATGGACGTAATGCTATTGACGATGACGATGATCAAAGTCTTTCCCGTAATGAACGTTATGCTCCTGATCCACGTCTTCTTCGTGATAGACGTTATGCTCCTGACCCATGGCTTTTCCGTAACAAACGTTATTCTGGTAACCGTCTTCTTCGTAGAGGACGTAATGCCTATGACGATAGTCAACCATTTTTCTAATGGTAATCAATATGATAAAATGGTATATCCAATATGATCGGTACAAAAAAAAATGGAAAAAATCATTACCGTTCATCAATATCGACATGATTCTTTTTCTTTTGTTTTTTCATTGTTTTAAAAACTTTTGATTTTCCATAAAAAATATTTTCAATAATGTTAATCCCGGGTTAATTAAAAAAAAAATAAAAAATATTTTTAAAAACAAAACAATAATTATTATTTCTTTAATTAATTAATTAAAATTTACAAAAAAATTTTACAAAAAAAACCAAAAAATTATTATTATTATTAATCAATGTCGGTGATTGATATGATGGGAAATCAACGAGAAAAAACAGCAAAAAAACAACAGACCAAAATCTGATTATTCTGACCAACAATAATTTGTCGCCGAAACAAATGCATGGTGGTGGCCAATAATCATTTTTTTTTTTTTGATTAAAATTGTTGGTGCAAAAATCAAAAAGATCAAAAAAGAAAAAAAGATCAAAAATCACGCGTTATTTTTGTCCCTCCAAATTGCTTATCAATCGAATAAAAATAACCTTTGTTAGTCTGGTTTGTCTGGTTTGTATTTTGATTTGTTTTTTTTCGGTTTGTCAGGATGTATCTGGTCGACATTTTTATCTTATCATTCATTCATCCGGATGGCCAAACAGAAAACAAACCTAATGATCAAATATAAATAGAAACGAATCAAGCTTGAATTCAAATCATCTTTGTTATTTGATTGATTGATTGATTGATCAAATCGAAAAAACCAAAAAATAAAAAAACCAACCATGAATCGTTTCAATGTAATTTTCATCATTGGTATCGTATTGATGATTACCATGCATATTGTCTATTGTTATGATAGCGAATATGGTAGTTATGGATCAAGTGGTTATGGTAGCGGATATGGAAGCAGTGGTTATGGTTCAAACCGTTATGGTAGCGGATATGGAAGCGGTTATGGAAGCAGTGGTTATGGCTCTAACCGATATGGTAGCGGAAATCGTTATGGAAGTAGCTATGGTTCAAGTAGTTATGGTTATGATGATGATTAATCAAAAAAAATCTGATTGATCTGATCGGTTATTGATTGATTGTTATCGTTTTGTTATTGAAAACCTTTTTTTTTTTATTAACCCCGGGTTCACCAACAAATAAAATTTTTTTGAATTTTTTTTTTCGCACCAAAAAAAAAACAAAAATAAAGATTCATTGACTTTCGGCTATTTCTACCCATCCAGCAAATAACAACAACATTATTATTATTATCATTAATAACATCTTTATTTTTTCCTATAGGATCTACAAAGATAAAATAAACGAAATGATGATGATGTTTAATCCTAATTTCTTTATGGAAAACAACAACAACAACAACAGCAAAAATAATGTTATTATCATCATTATAATCATTTTGTTTTTTTGTTTTTTGCTTTTTACTTGATTATAAATCAAGATATTAATGAGATATGAATAAAGTAATGATAATAATAATAAAACTATAGTCACCCTTGTGTTTTAATAGTGTTTTCTAATCTATCCAATTATTATTATTATCATTGGAACTTTGATGAAAACACAAAAAAAAACATTGAAGATTCTTCTCTGATTTTTTTATTTTATTTTGGGTGCATTCATTCATTCTTGGTATTCGGACAGACAGACATTATTTCAGAGTTTCATTTGGATCGGTTTTTTTTATCGGGCCAAAGATAATTTATTTCATACTGTATATATATATATATATAGAGAGAGAGAGAGAGAGAGAGAGAGAGAGAGAGAGAGAGAGAAAGAATCCTAAAATCATATAGATTTTTTTTTTTTTNCAGTTTTTATATACAGTGGTACCTCGGTTAACGAATACCTCGGTTAACGAAATTTTCGGTTAACGATTTCGGTCAGGAAACCGTTAACGACGATTTTTTTCGGTTAACGATGATTAAAAAACAAGTATTGCATTGTATTTCGGTTAACGAACATTTCGGTTAACGACGGTTTTTCAGGAACCGATCATCGTCGTTAACCGAGGTACCACTGTATAGAGAAAGAAAATCCGAAAATCATATAGATTTTTGGTTGTCTACGATGTAATTGTAGTTTTTTGTTTTGTTTTTGTTCTCCCTCCTTTTTCCCACTTGGTTAATTGATGATGTCTATGATGCTGATGATATAATAATTTGTATGAAGGCAGCAGCAGTAATAAAAACCAATTCAAAGAATTTGGGTTAGAAAAAAAAAATCTTTGCATTCATTCGCTAGATTCTACAGAATCTCTCTATGTTTCAAATAAGGAAAACTATCATTAAATTTTGTTAAGAAAAAAATCCCAAAAAATTCTTGTCGAAATGTGTAGGCGTCCATTCGTAAATACAGAATTATTAATTTGAATTTGAATTTTATTTCTTCCTTTTTTTTTTCCTGTTTTGAAAAACTGAATGAAAAATGATAATTTTTATTGATGCGAAAATAATTTTCATTTTCAAGAATTTCATTCAACCAAAAAAAGCAGCAACAAAAAAAGTTGCCGGTCAGTCAAGTTAAAATAGTTATATAAGGAAGAAGACCGACAAAATAATGTCATCTATGAATGAACTTTTTAACACTCAAAAACTTTTTTTTTGATTTCAAATTCTTTACAAAGTGATTGATGTTATTCGCTTGTTCGAACATCATCACTATCTTCTCGAAATTCTTGAAACCCAAACAACAACAACAATAAAAATTATCAGCAAAGAAATCTCTGAAAGTGAAAGTTATAATAATAATGATAGCAGACAAGAATCCCGGAAACAAAAATCAAAAAAGAAAACTTACTTAATAATGTTATGGCAGTGAAAATAGTGGAATTCTTGGATTCCAGATCATCATTATCTTTGATTTAAAAAATGGATTTTTTTTTCTCTCTCTCATTTCGCTATTTTGACCCAAAACACACACACATGCATGAGAAAAAATAGATTTTTCACTAGATTTGTTTCAACCAGAACAATTTTTTTCTCTGGTTATTCGGTTGATGATGATAACCGAACAACATTAAATGAATGAATGAATTCGAATGGTGATGATCATCATCAAGGCGCCTTTTTCTTCTTTTCTCTCATTATGATGACGCCTTGTTTTTCTGGTTTGATTCTGGTCTAGTTTTCATTTTTGCTGGTTGATGATGATGAAGATCACCCAAAGATGATACGCACGATCGACTAAAGCCATCAAAAAAAAACAAAAACAATTTCCGTTTCATGTCGATCACAGAAACTGTTGTTGTTGTTGTTGTTAGTTTTGGTTTTGTTTTCTCTATCGATATACTGATTAGATACGTTAAGACAACAATAA